CTCTCTCTCTCTCTCTCTCTCTCTCTCGCTCACCCCAATTCGTCTCCCTCCCTCTCTTTCTCTCTCTCACCCCAATTCCTTTCCCTCTCTCCCTCTCTTTCTCAAGGGGTCTTCGTATACTTAAATTATCTTCCGGGGCATGTGCGAAGCTCAAATTTCTTTTCCTTTTCCCTTGTTAATTTTGAGCCTCTATTGAGATTCTTCATGCTTCACAGTTTCCAGATTACTATTTTTCCTTTTTATCTCTCTTTCTTATATCTAGGGATCCATTTTGAGTTTTATGAGAACTTGGGTTACTTGCTTTTTGGTGAAGTGCTGGGTTTTTTCAAAATTGGGGCTGCTTCAGTTCTGATTTTTGTCAAAATTTGACCTTTTGTGCTCAATTGGATTGGGAGGAGAGAGAAAGTTGGAATGAATGGAGGGTTTGAGACATGGGTCTTGATGGTATGCTCTATTGGTGAACTTTAAAGCACATAATAGAAGTTGAGACAATGAGCTTCATACACTTGACTACAAGGGAGAACCCCATACTACTATTATGGAACAGAAACCATTTTGATGGGATGAAGCCATCATGTGAATTATCTTCTTAGCATTTAATTCTCTGCGTTATTTTATTTGAAAAAAGAATAATTCTCCAGAGTATTATGTAGATTGAAAGACTTTACTCCTCAAGCATAACTGTGGGTGGTGAAGCCTCTGTTACAAATATCTTTTGTTCAGTCTTTGTGTTTAGAATTTATAGGGAGGCTATTTAATGCCTTATGCTTCAATTTGCATGGGAAGGCATATTTTCATGGACATTCAAAGATATGTTAAAATGGGCATTGATAGTTTAAATGGGGAAAGTGTTTTTCTTTTTCAATAAAGGTCATAATGTATATTGGTTATAAGAAATGGAAAAAATATATTCACACGAACCAATTTAATGGGGAGAATGTTTTGAAAGAAGTTGATCTGGATAGACAAAAGCAATGTAAGTGGGGAATGTATTTGCAGGAAGTTTAATGATGATACACGAACATTTCAATGTTGAGACGCTGTCGCACATGGCACCACATGCATGGGTGGTGCTTCATGCATTTTACAATTGCGATCCCCTCTTTTTGTCATATGTAATCTCTTCTCTTTTAGCAAGATACTATTTTTGAAAATTTTGTTAAGGAATTTTGATGTTACTTGGAGGCCTTCCTCTTTCTTTTGTTCATAAGTATGGTGGCTATTTAGGAATTCTTTCAAATGCAATAATATTAGAAACCAGTACTTTGTGTGGTCTAATATCATGCCTCTTTCGGATATATCGTGACAGCGAAGGCCTTGGAAAGTAGTATCTTGTAAGAGGTAGGATCAAGGTTGAGTGATTGGATTGTGATATTCTAAATGACCCATTAAATACAAATTTTGGGATAGATTAAACTGCAATATAGCAAAATAAAAACAGCTCCAAAAACATAGCCACAGGTTGCCAAATGACGAATACTCATCCTCATTCCAATTCTTTATTTAGGTAGATTTCTTTTATTTGAAACAACCAATCCATTACTTCCTTTCTACCTTTTCGCCATGTTCTTCAGGCCACCAACAAAGATGAAGCCTTAACCCCGACCGTGATGGGCTTCTATAATTTGATCCAAACATAGGATATCAAATTTGTGAAAGGCGCGAGTCTATTATTTTGGGGCAGGAGCTTGGTGCTAGATCAGCCTCAGGCAATCCAAACTATCATCGTTAATTTTATTCAGAACTATATTTTGCGGTATTGATTTTTCTCTCCTAAAATTATAACTAAATTAAATTAAAAAAGGCTATGTAATTTGTATCCAAGCACATAAATTATCATTGTTTCTTGCGGAAATTTTTCAGAGAACTCTTTGGAAGAGAGCACAGTAAGTCTATATTATTTGGCAGTAGAGATAATAGAGAGGATTTTGAAAATGCTTACCCTATGAGAGAGATAGAGAGATGTACTTGGTGCATTCATCGGCAACAGAGCACACAGAATAGATGGAAGGGGCAAATAGATGGAGCAAGAGCTGAAATATGTTGAAGGTGGATCTGGTACAATGAATCCTATTTTTATCATCTTCTGGTATTTCAAGTTATGATTGTAAGAGTATTGTAATATGTATAACAGTTGTTTTCTTAGAGTTTGCAAAATGCGAACCCAGGAGCATTTGCTTGGGAACTCTTCTTATTGTGGTTGAGATCTGATTGCTGGCTCTTTTATTTTGAGTTTGGAAGAAATGTTTCTTGTGGGGTTGGGGGAGGGGTGCATTGGTGTTTTACTAGATTGAATGTTGGCTTGATGAGAGATAACCTCTTAACCAAGGATACATATTGGCCCTTCCAGGTAGCCGGCCTTCATTTAAACCATTGACTGCCAGAGAGGTGGAATCCCTGGGATTGACTCATGTTATGAATGAATCATCTGCAAACTAGAGGTGGGATCTCCTGGGATTAACTGTGGAATGTAATATTTTGGTGAATAAGAAATAGAAAATTATTCATAGGTGGAGTATTCATAAGTTCATAGCTGAAAAGCTTTTGAGTTGGAGAGAGAATTACTAGATTAACAAGTTAATCCCATAGATTAAGCTCTAGTACATGAAAACTGGAGAACATGTTCACTTTAGGCTTGCACCTTTGAGTACTGGATTGAAGCACATTTTGTTCCTAATATAAGAGATTTTTTACTTTTTTTAATCTTTTGGAGCATAAAAATAATCCAAATAGAGTATATTATACATTACTCTAAACACTAAAGGGCATCAGCTGTAAATTCCAGATGAAACTGCAGAGATTGACCATATTCAGGCCACAGGACATTCTCATGGGCATAGTTAACCTCCACTTGCCATCCTCAGAAATGGATGATGGTTGTCCTTTGGACTACCCTATACTATATTCCCAAGGATTATTCTATACTTTCTGACTAGCAAAGAGGATACATAATTTTTTTTATAGAAACCAGGACTTGAGAAACCATTACATTGACTGGAAATATATTGATTTATCTCATCACTGAATCAGTGGAAATCATTGCAGCTCTTTCTGCTAGTTGATTTGTTTCCCATTAAAACATGGTGATTTAGTGAATATTATGGTTTTATAGAACATATCTTATCTCATTTTACTTGAAAAACAGTTAACTTCTACAAATTACAGGAACGAATAATTCTTCATTAATGTTTCAGGAATGAGGCTTGGGAATCTGTATTGTGACCCTTCAATTGCTAACGGTATCCACAAGATCACTGCACGACAGAGATGGACGCCCAGCCAGATGCAGCTTCAAATTCTTGAGAGCATATTCGACCAGGGAAATGGGACCCCAAGTAAACAGAAGATAAAAGAGATCACTTCAGAGCTAACCCAACATGGCCCAATTTCTGAAACTAATGTTTATAATTGGTTCCAAAACAGGAGGGCCAGGTCGAAAAGGAAACAGCAGGTGCATTTTTCAAGCAATGCAGAATCAGAAGTGGAAACTGAGACTGAATCTCCCAAAGAAAAGAAAGCTAAGTTGGATAACATAAATTCCCATGAAAATCAAACCTCAAGGGTGGAGGATTTATGCTTTCAGAGTCCAGAAGTGAGCTCTGATGGGCAATCTATGGACCAACTTCCCAACAAAACAAAATGTGGGCTACAATCAAATGATAGCTCGAAGTGTTTGAATGGTTTTGGCCATATTTCCTTCTACGAGAATGTCGTTTCAAATTCAAACCCAAGTAGGTCAAATTCTTTATCACTGAGCAGGACATTTTCACACTTCAAATTCTTTGAAATATTTTGTCTCACGGGTCAAAGTTTCATCTCACGGGACATCCATATTCTTGTTGTATACACAAATTTTGCCAAGTTTTGAAAATGGAGGTTAAGTGTTCTTTGATTTATATTCATAGAGGAAATCTTTAATTGGGGTCCTTAAAAATAGCTGAAATTTTTTATAAAATATAAATTTGTGGTCTTTTCCCATGGCCAAGTCGGCATTGAAATATAGATATGAATTTTTTTTTTTGTTTTTTAGATATATGGTATGAAGGGTGACAAGTTCATGTACTTAAATTACAGGAGTGGATCATCTCATGGGACATATGGAAGATGCGGGCAGCTATGATCCCTTCCATACAGGAGACGGCTATGACATGTAGGGTTGGTATATTCCCCTTCATCAGCTTTAATGTTGTCTGCTTTCTACCACATTCCGATATATTGGCTTGCCATTTAATGGAGTGGAGAGAAATTTTTAACTTCTAAGCACAGGCAGAGCCCAACGAGAATCGTTATACAAATCATTAAATGTGGTAACAGATTTACCATGATATACACGGTATAGTGTAGAGATAGAATAACTTTACTGTGAACTTGTTGGCAATTTGGAGCAGCTAATCCTCAGGCTGAGACCTGTTTTAAACTTTTGATTTGACTTCATTGTGTGGTTTTGTGGTTGTCTGGGAACTAATTATATGCAACATGATCCATGCTCATGATTACTTTCCTTCATAATTGATGGGTCTCTTGTTTAATGTCGGATTTTGTCTAATATGCAACAAAGCAATCTTTTGTTGTGATTGAAATACCAATTATATGCTTTGGATTTTCATTTTAACTGTTCATTTCGCATTAATGTCGACAAGGACGGGATTCATGGAAGATGTCTTTTTTTTCCCCTGAGTTCTCTATAGGCCTCCTTACTTCATGAACCAGCACTGTTTGGTAACGCTGGTTGGTTCACTTGCCATAGATGCTTGGTGGTAAATTACATTTTCAGGAACGTTAACCCAGCCGGAATAACCATTTCTGATGAAAGCTAACAAATTTGACTTAAGAAATGGTTAACGAATTTCACTTGTGATGTGAAATTTTATGGGTTTTTAGGCTTTGGATATGGGCTCATGGGTGATCGCCCCAACACTGCACGCAGGATTTAAATACCATCTTACCCACCCAAGAAAAAGAAAAGGGGAGAATGCCATTGCCTCTGGTTATAAGGAAAGTAATGTTTACTAGCATGTGTTTTTGACACTCGTATCGAATGAGAAAGCAAACCGTAGGAAACCCAAAGGTTAGCATTGTAGATAAATCCTCTAGGTTTGTCACCAAGGTAAGTGCAAAATACTCCCATGTTGCAAACAATTTTTTTTTTCCCTTTGTTGCTTATTTGATAGTTTAGAGCGAAAGATTGCTTGCAAGGCATGAACATTCTGTAGTCTGTACATAATGTCCATGGATAATGGCCAAGTTGGTAACTAATTGACATGCATCGTTAGCAAATTTACATTAAACTTAGCAAAAAGAAAACAAAAAACAAAAAAAGGATGCTTCCGCATGAGAATAAAGTCAGATTTTTATTGTAAATATCCCTTATATTCTACGGTATTAAAAAGATGGAAAAGTATAGAACAAGACTATTTACTTTTGGTATAAGGTGGTCACACTTAATCTTAACCATTAGATGTGAAACTGGGTGGTTGCATTTGTTCCATTGGCCAAGCTAAAACCTCAAAAAAAAAAAATTTCAAAGTTTGTGACACATCCAAACCATCAAATTTCACATCTTGTAAGTAATTGTGACCACTTTGTATCAGGTAACTGGTCTCATTACATACAATCCCTCAAAAGATCTCCCTTGAATATTTCTCTTTTAACTAAGATTAGTTGACATTGGGATACGTACTGCTGTGTTCTGGTCCTCTACAACCCCACCGATGAGTCCAGTGTCCACGCTCTAAACCTTATTCAAATTTTAAAATAAAATTTATTTGTGCTCTCCTTAAAACAATAATGGCACGTTTGATTTCTAGAACTTCTAGTTCTGGAAACCAGAAGTTCCATGCTTTTTAAGCACTTTTGTGTTTGATAACATTAAATGCTACAGTGGATGGCCTATCTGGAACTTCTTATTTCCATAAAATCAAATGGATACTGCGAGTTCGATGCCCCTCATGGAGGACTGAAGAATGGAAATGGCTGTTGGACTGCTACGTCATTTTCAAATTTGAAAATGGCTTTTGCATTGGGTTCGTTCCTTAATATTTGTGTGTAAATGGCAGGTGTGGAGCAAGTGGCAACCAATCAAATTGTCAATAAAATTTGAAATATTATATTTAAAATTTATAAATTCTTTTGAAAGTAACTAATTTTTTGTAAGAAAAAATAATAAGGAAGCATTTAGTCCTTCTATATTTATTGATAAATTAAAAAAGGTACAGTTGTGTAAAACCTAGGCAGTAAACAATCAAATTAGAGCCCACATTTAAATAGTATCAAAAAATGTGGTTTCGATACTGGAAATCTTTGTCATATCCATAAAATATATAATTTTTAATTGTAAAATTTAAAGCTTCAAAAATAGTGCAAATCAAGCATATCTATGAAACCTTGAAAATCTTGAAAATTGATGGTTCAAAAATATGTTACATGATGCACTATTTCCAAAACTTGAAATCTATTTTTTCTCATATCCATACATCTTAATATCAAGATGATCAATTTGAGGATAATTGGGCATCAAAACAACTTCTTCCAGTGAAAATTTTTAGGTGGCTCTCATTTGATTGTTTAGAGCATCGGCTCCATATACACTTTTTCCAATAAAAAATGATGTATTAAACTCTATTTAGTTAGAGTCTTCTGCATAAGGGTACATTACTTTTCATAGATCTTATTTCATGTTGGCAATTTATGATAAAAATTTATAACATAAAATGCAAATATTGAAATACAATTTAAAAAAAAAAAACCTGAAAATTTATCTTGATAATATAAATTCTTGGAAGCTTATTTAGTATGACTCTATAGAGAGAGATTCCTTATATAGACTCGACATCCATGCCTTTTTATATCGTTTTTTTAAATTTGAAAAAATTTCTCCAATAATAAATTTTATAATTTAAAATCAAAAGCTCAAGAAACTATTATATTTATTATTTTCAAAAAGCAATTTAAGCAAATATAAAACAAAACGATGAAGAATTAGGTCTAAGCCTTCTAGAAAAACTAAAACCTCACATCAAACCTCACTGAAAATTGTAGTTCTAATGTGGAAAACCTTCAAATTGATCATCTTGACCTTGACCAGTATGACTGGAAAAAAAAAAAAAGGGATTTCAAGCTCTAGTTTATATTATAACACATTATCTAAACTGTCTATTTTTCAAGTGTTCACGGAGCAACAAGATCCGTATCATTTTTTATCTACAAATTTCATAATCGACAGTGAAAATTTATTTTGAAGCCACCAAAGGGATTTGTCATGCCCAAAAGTGATTTCCAGATGAGATTTTGAGATGGGGCTTTACTTCTTTTTCATATGGCCTAGGCCTTCTTTTTCATAATCTTAATTGGTATATGTTAAACAACTAAGAAGTTTTACGAGGGTCATGACCCTTAATAATAGTTTCCCTAAAAACAATAGGGCTAGCTTTCTCTTATCGCATAAAACTTATATACTTCCCCTTATCCAACCGTCCATTATGAATGGAGGGTTAAGATTGCCCTAATCACAATGTCACGTCTCTACACTATTTTATTTTAAATTTATTTTTTAGAAGCTATTTTGACACCAAATTTTGGGCATCCAATCCTCTATTAAACTCGTACTAGTGAAAAATATAAAAAATATATATATTTCCAATAAAATAAAATAACCAAAATATCTCTAAAAGTTTCAATAGGTATTTTGGTTATTATATTTTATCAAAACTTATTTTTAATATTTTTTATAGGTGTGCTCCAATGAGAAGATCACATGTACCAAATTTCATACTCATACAATTTGTATAAAAAAAATTAAAAATAAAATACTTTGAGCTGTCAGATCTAAGATTAAATGGTAAATGACTCTCTTGATCAGACAGCTGAATGGTAGGAGAAATATAGATCTTCTATATTGTAAAAAAAATATAGAAACTTTCCCAAAACAATATTCACAGTTTTAGAAGTACAAGCTCTGCATAAAAACTAGAGGAGCAATAATGCATATAACTTATTCAAAGTTGTCAAACCTTTGGATCCTGAAAACGCCAAAACGACGCTTCCTGCCTCTAGGCGTAGGAAACGAAAATAACGGCCTTTTAATATTAAAAAAATAAAAAATAACGACCATTTTAAGCATTGGTATAAAGAACATTGGATATTTGTCTACATAATTGAAAAGAAAAAAGGAAACTTTGAGAAGGGAGCAGTACATAGAGTGGGCCTAAGCTATCAAGAACGGGAGTAATTACTAGAATCGTGGATGTAATATTTTTTTTTTGGGGCTAAATAGTCATGAATATAAAAACTAGTTCCCATTTTCTATTTCAAATCAATGCTTTAACCATTATGTTTGTAAAAAAAATAGAATTGGATTTCCAGGCTCTTAAAAAGTGTATATTGTAACATATTATCTAGACCGTCTTTTTCACCCTAAAAATAATTGTTCACATATCTACAAGATCTGTGCCATTTTTTAAAGTTAGAAAGTTTTCAAGTTTGAATTTCATAGTTGACATTGAAAATTAATTTTAGAGACATCATGAAGATTTTTATGCCTAAAGTGCTTTCTGGATGAGGATTTGTAGTGAAGGTTTACTTTGCTTTCATAAACCTTATAAAAACTGCACCCTTTAATAATTTCATAATATCAGTGCATGTAAAAACAATGAACTTTTTTTTTGTGGTGAGTAACCGTGTCAAAACTGCCATTATTTCCTTTTTAAAAACGGTAATACAACAGTTAAGACTAGTTGGGATCGCTTCAAAACTTATAAGTTAGTATAATCTTAAGAAATGTAAATACCAATCGCTATAACCAATGTTATTAGATTCGCTTCAAAGTGAACAGAACAGAAGATGCTAAGTCGTCTTCAGGTATATCCTTTATGAAATATAAATTTCCAAAAAATACATGAAGTAGGTAGTTTTTGAAACTGCCATGAATTTTTGGAGTATATTGCAAAACTTTGAAAATACCAAGCACATTTTCAAAATTGTATAGAAAAAATTTAAGCATATTTACCATATTTTTTAAAGGAAACTTATTTCATACGGGCTGGTATGCATTTCTACATATGTAGTCCATAAAGTGTAAAGCGTCCATCTTAAAAATGGATGCAAGTAGATGTTCCATCTAAAAACAATAAAAACTAACGGTTTATATGTTTCTTACTAAAATTATTATTTTTAGTTTTAAAAATTTATTTATTTATTCATATTCATGATCTTTATGTTAGAGATCACATGTCCCTAAAAATTAAGTCCTAAAATCGATCTTAAAAATAGATTTATTAATGCCCGCATTTCTACCTATCGCTTAATAGAAACCGGATCCTTTTTTTAAAACGTCATACATATTTCCACAACTTTTCCCAGCTATCGAAAATTAGTTGGATCCACTTTCATTCGACCCAGGAACCAAAGCCAAATCAGACAAGGCTAAGGCAATCTTACAAGAATGACCATAACGAAAACAACTAAATTAATGGAGGGAAGAAATTTATAAGTGTCACGAACCTTTCAAGTAAAGTGTCGTAAAAAACCGAAAAAGTTGGCCAAATGTTTGAAAACCTTCCCATTAATCATTTTGACTTCAACATATACAGAGAAAAAAAAATAATAATTTCAAGTACTCAAATAACATATCTTACTATATATTATCTATAGATGATATTTAGGTGTTTATAAATATGTTTGATATGAACCATTTTTTAAATTTTAAATTTCATAATTAATGGGGAGTAGATTTTTAAGCCATTTTTTTATTTCAAAACTGCACCTTTGAATACAATTTGGAGGTACAACTTACATGATTATTCATGGTTGAGGCCCTCTACAAATTCATCCCAAATGGAAAATAGAAATAAAAGCAGAAAAGCCCTTTTCGCCAAAAATAAAAGTAAAGGCACATTTGAAATACTACTCATTTCTAGGGGTGGGAGCAGTTGGGTCAAGTTTGACCCGAACTAGTCTAAAGTAGACTTGGGTCTGACCCAAACTTAGTTCAGGTCGACGTCAATTGGACCCAGATCAAGAGTTTATTATATATATATATATATATATATATATATATATTAAAAAAGAAATTATCTTATATGACCTTCCCCCTACCCCACCCATGTGTGTAGAACTTCAAAAGATCACCATTAAATTTGACACAAATCTATAAAAAATCAAGTCCCACACTCATGTAATAACTTTACTAAAGATCCGTGCCGACTTTAATGATAATCCTTTAAGGTCCAACACACATAGGTGGAAGAGGGTCTCATAAAATCATTACTCTTAAAAAATTACTTTATATATTTGGTATTACATAATTAATATTACTTATATATAATTTATACTAATATATTTGGCAGGGTACGGCCTCGACCTAAACCCAACCCTACTCTATAGGATCTAAGCTTGACCTAGACCCAATCAGGCCAAAGTCAAGTGGATCCAAAACAGATTGTTGGATCCATTGTCTAGGTCGACACGACCCAATTCCCCGCCCCCCTACTTGTTTTTGTCTTTACCCCAATGTTGCCTTTTTTTTCCAAGATCGTCGTTTTTTTTTCCTTTATAACAGGAGTCGCCATTATAAAACGGAAGCGGTCCAAACACGCAATGTTACATGATCAACGTCTTTTATAACTAGCCTGCAATTTAGGGCGGGAGCAGTTTATGTCCAAATTACTTCTACCCAAATATGTTGAAGCATATGCAAACACCAAACACAAGTGCGGGAGTGGGCCTTAAGCCTATCATTCAATAATACAATGCAGTGTTTTAGAAGCTAGAATGGCCGGGTGAAGTAGCCATCCAAGAAACCGGTTACCACTCCAGATTAGTGATCCGACCGATTCTCCCCCATGAGAGAATCTATCAATGCAATATAAAAAAATTTGAAATAAATGAAAAAAATAAAAAACCTCCGAATCGCCCAGTTCCTTGAGAGAATTGCCATGTTCCTTGACAGCACCGGGCTGTTCCATGGGAAATGGACCAATTCCCAGTTTCTACAAGGAACCCGGCCAGTCACCACAGATTCCCGATTTGGATAAGGGGATTTCAATCAGAATTGCCGATTTTCTAGTCATTGATACAAGTGAGCAACATATAAATCAAATACTACATACAAAGGCATAACATATGAACATTTGGTCTACGGAAATGGCAGATACACGGTTATCTCTACTGTTTCAGTTAGGATGGACAGCTATACATGCTATGTATACAAATTTCTGCTTGCAAAATGGTGTTCCAGAAACATAGTTTTAGCCAATATAATTAAACAAAGATAAAAATCAAACAATTCATTTCTGAAAGCTATCGTAATCACATGTGTGCAATAACTATACATAATTGTTCTTGGCTATCTTTTTTTCTCAGCATGGGCTTAAATACCTGCACAAGCCATCGAGCTCCTAATCTTTCCTGAGTATTTCCCTTGTTTTCTTCCTTCAGTCATCACATGGTTCAAAGCTTCAATGAGCCTACCTCTCAAGCACTCTTTTCTTCTTTCAAATATACATTTGGTGAAGACCCAAAACCTTTTGGTTGAGATCAGTTCAATATTATTAGGGCAGAATAGTTCATTTGCTGCTTTATGATCTTTAGATATGGAAAGCAAAGGTATTGGGAACCAGACTCAATTACCAAATAAGAGGTACGAGTACTGAAAATATGAACAGAGTGCATCTCCTAGAGCACCACACTGGGTTGTGAATTACCCCTTTTGCAAATATTCTGAACTGGTAGATTCCATTTTTCTTGGTAGCCTGAGCTGCACTATTTAAGGAAAAGTTCAGTAAAATATTAGAGAGAGAGAGAGAGAGAGAGAGAGAGAGTAGTACGACGACACATACGCTACAACTACGAAGGTCGTACTTAAGTTCGTACTTAGTAGTAACGTAACGTCGTTACCGTTTAACCGAACCGACGACGAAGTAACTAACTAAAACT